TTAAACAAAACCCACAAAACCTACTATAAAGATATAACCAACACACTGTAAAGTGATCTTGAACAAAACCCACAAAACCTACTATAGAGATATAACCAGCACACTGTATAGAAGACTGCAAAGGTTTGGGTACTATTGGCCAAAGATAAAAACAGATGCGGCCAAGATCCAGAATGACTGCGAAAAGTGCATCCCAAAAGCAAATAAAAATGAATGCCTTATAGTTGGTAAAGCGACTTGCAGGACCATGTACATAGAATATATTGAGAACAACACCACACCTAACCCAGTTATGAAAAGAAAACTGTTAGCAAAGGCCAAAAGGTTCTTCACAATGGAGTGTTATATAGAAAGTCCTACACTGAGGAACCTTTGTGATGCCTAGTCGGTGAGGAAATAGAAGAAGCATTAAATGCAACTCACAACTCTGAACCAGACCCACACCAGGGACAGCAAGCCCTACATAACCACATCTTACACTTAGGCTTCTACTGGCTTACAATGCTGGAAGACACCCAAAAGCATGTACGAAGGTGCTACAAATGCCAAGTACATGCAGAAAGGATACACCATCTAGACAATAACCTCCACCCCATAATTACACCATGGCCTTTCCACACGTGGGGGGTAGTCTTATAGGAAAAATACACCTACCTTCCCGGGATACGGTTTCATCATAGTAGCCATAGACTATTTCACCAAATGGGCAGAGGCCATACCCCTAAGAAGAATTTGTGTAGAAAACATCCTAAACTTTCTTAGACAACACATAGTCCACTAGTTTAGGGTCCCCATAAGGATTTTGACAGATAATAGGTTATCCATAGAGTCAAGAAGTCCAGGAACTGTTGGGACAGTATGGGGCAAGACTAGGCACACTAATAACCTATTATCCACAAGGGAATGGGCAACCAATAAGACCTTCTTAAAGATGCTGAGTACGATGGTAGCTGTAAACCAAAAGGATTGGTAAAAAAGGTTGTCTAAAACACTTTGGGCTTATCACACAACAATTAGAAAAAGCACATAGGCAACACCCTGCTCCTTGGTATATGACCGGGAAGTTGTTCTACTGGTAGAGATACAGAAAGTGTCTGCCCGGGTAGCCTACCGTAATGGGAATGAAGTTTTGAATAGAAGAGATGGATTAATTGCTCAACGACAAACTAGAATGCATAGAAGAAGGAAAAGAGAAGTCATTGCAGAAACATATCAAATACAAACAAATCATGGCTTTAAACTTCAATAAACTAGTAAAGCCTAGAAAATTCAAAGAGGGCAACAAGGTACTAAAAATAGCACTCCATGTCAAATAGGGTAAATCCGTTGGAAAATTTGCACCTAACTAGGTCGGACCATACATAATCCATGAAGCTCACTTAACTGGATATTATGTACTGAAGACTGTAGATACAAATGAAGAAGATGAGACTGTGAATGGTCACAGGTTAAAATCATATCATGGTTAGTGATGTAAATTGTAACTCTAAAATTTTGAAGGAAAAGCATGTCATGTCTTCTATACTTATACTCAAAACAAAGCATGCTATGAATTTTTGACTGTGCAATTTTGATGGAAAAACTTGTCATATGTCTTGTATAATCCCAAGTGCGATCTTACATACCCTGGCAAACCCAGGCGTGATCTTACATACCTTGACAACTCCAGCACGACCTTACATACCCTGACAACCCTAGGCACAATCTCACATACCCTGGCAACCCTAGGCGCGATTTTACATACCCTGACAGCCCCAGGAAGGCCCCGACAACCCAAGGTGTGAGTAAGGTGGTTAGGCTACATACAAGGGTCTCCTTGAAAGACAAAGGAAGTCTGTGTGTAGGAGGCAGGCTAAAGGCTAGGGAAAATAGAGGGATAGAATGAATCTTTCACTATGAGTTGGACCCCTATTTATAGGGATAAATCTAGAGGTCCCAAAAGGAAGGATCCAAAAGCGTTTGATTTAGTTGTTACGGAGCACTACTAGGGTTTCACCACGTGTCTTATGAGATATTTCAAGGATGAGCTTTCTTTTCGTCTAAGGATTCTCATAATATACGTGTGCTACTTCCTTTCGTGGCTCTCCTAAACTGACGTGGCGTAGATGATGTCATTGTTTGTCTCACATGTCCTTCTTAAGCCTACAAGGTGTCCTGTCACGTGCATTGTTTAATGATGTGCGTATTTCTTTTAGTTACTTCTGATTTGCGATGAGCTTGTGCTTATCGCAGTTGTGCAGTATCTTTAAGCTCCTTGCAAGTCTGTGCGGGTCTAAAGCTGATCGCAGACGTGCGACGAGTTTTGGATTCATCTCAGACATTCGTGTCGGACTAGTTTAGCGCCTTTTTTGCTCTGATGCTTTAAGTGACTACTATGTACATACATTAGCCCCCTGCTTATTGGTAAGTGGGAGCTTACTGATAAGTATTTTTGTCGTTGGGTTCCCGTTGGAGGTCTGTGACAGGGTTATTAAAGTGGGAAATTGTAGGTGTTGTGGCACCTCAACTCTTTGCACTAGAAGTGTTGGGTTTGGTAATTATTCTTGTTCTTGAAGGGATGCATAGTGGGCTTTGTGCATAAAAATTTAATTTGGGTAGGTTATTAGCCCCCCTATTTATAGATAAGTGTGAACTTGTCGATAAGAATTCTTGCCTTCGACTTATTAATATTATTTCGATGGCGTTTGGGATCATTTTTTTTGGGATACCTTTTCGTTCCCTTTATGATTCAGCCCCCTTGTCTTTATACAAGTTGCTTTCTGTTGAGTGACATATGTGTGTTGAATTGGTTGGTGAAGTTCTCAGCTCCCCTGCAAATCAACAAAGAGTGACTTGTAGAAAGATAACTGTTATGGCTCGATTTGAGTATCCAGCCCCCCTTTGGTGAAAGGGAGTTTGTCGATTTTGAAATTTAACTCCCCTGTTTCATGATAGGGCAATGCTTTTCCAAAGACAACTAAAGTGGTGGTTTTGATTTTCAGTCCCCCTGTCTTTGGCATGTCCATCGGGAAATACATAGAATGAAGTTGTGGTTGTTCGTTTGGGTGAAGTGGCTTCTTGCATCCGTCTATTAGTTGGATTGGTGGGGAAGCCGTTATGTACAGATGACGTGGCATTCATTATGTCATTCTCATAACTGTCGTCTCGCATTAATGCGCTGCAGAGGTGCATGTGGCTTGGGGATTAAGTACGATTTATCTTAGTGGCGGTTGTTGCGGTGGCAGTTAATTTCCCTTGGTATACTTTTTCAGCTAAGTGATAGCAAGGGAAATGTAATCATTTCCTTTCATCTTCCCCGGTGTCATTTGAAATTCTAGACTCGTGCGAAGCCTCTATAAAGGGATAGCGGCTGTGAATCGCTTGTGCTTCCTATTTGTTTTCCTCTTCTAAGTCTTTTGTTCCCCCGTTCGTGTGTGTTACACTTTCTGACTTCTGTCCCTTTTTTATTTCCTTTTGTTGTCTACTCTTTGTAATGGATCCCCATGCTTAAAAGAAGTATGAGTGTCCCTTTGTTAATTTTGTATGAGAAGTGGACACTGCCAAAATGCTTTCCGAGCGTGAGGCGGTGAGTATGGCCGATGGTGGGAAAGGTTTTTTGGCCCCCTATTCCAGTGGCAAGGAGCAGCAACGGAAAATTCAATACCATGGAGGGAGAGAGTTGATGTGTTTGTATGGTCGCGTGGAGCCTTCTATGTCGTTCCGTTGCCATGAGCCTATAGGCTATAACTGATGGGTCGAGGTCGCCTGTCAACTATTCTGACTGGGGCCATTTCATTCTAGATAACCCCATGTTCTACCGCTTGTTTCGTGATTACGGTCTTCTTCGATTTGTTGACTATTTTATGGATCTTCCCAGCAAGGAGGGGGTCATCTACATGAAACCACTTTTAGACCATTGGTGATGATGGATTCACACCTTCGAAGGAGCTTCTAGCGGGTTCGGCATTACTATCAAAGACGTCACCACTCTCTTGGCCCTTCTAGTAAGGGGTGCAGTCTTTGCTTGTCATTTGCAGTTCGCGGAGTCGATTCCTATGAATTTGTCTGTCTTGCATGCTGAATTAATGGAGGAGATCAGCAATTTTAAGTCCCAGGTAGACAAATCAGCTGCTCATGGAAAGATGCCTTTGGAGGCATGGATAGCATATTGGTACAAGGGAAAGGGTTTGGGTGATGTTATGGTTCGAAAGGGGGATGGGCAATGTCATCTTGCAGCATTTATTCTTTACCTTGCAACCCGTTTTCTGTTTCCCAGAGTTTTTGACTACGGTATGCAGGTTGTTTTGGTCCCTCTTGCTGTTCTTGCTGTCGGTGGTCACCAATTGCCACTCTCTATGTTTTTGGGGTATTTGTTTGACCAGATGGATGATACTGTCCATCAGATTATGGATCCAAGCTGCAGACGGCGTTGCCAGCCTACAGCTATGTCTTCTCTCCCTTTCTCTTCATGTTTATATGTGAGCGATTTTCGCTTAGTGTTACTCCTCGTCGACTGTCTCCTTTCTCTGTTACTATTGCAACCCTTGAGGGGGATGGGGTTGAGGAAAATCTTTGGGTGTTTTCTGAGGAAAATGATGGCTTGGTGCCAAAAGACTTAAACAATTTTGCGTTGTTGAGATCGAGTTGTAGCGGTGGTCGCTTGAGGGTTTTGTATGGAGACCTTATGTGCACTTCATTCATCATTCCATGTCGTTCTTCATTGGGGTGGATGTGCCTGAGGGGGCTGATCAACAGTGCGTTGTCGAGGCTAATCATACACTTGCCCATGTTGCACGGCTTGTTCTTTGGCTTGGTGTCATTGCATATTTGGATAGTGCTAGGGAGGCTCAAGTGACTGCCTATCGACTTGACAGGGTACTCCGCCAGTTTGGATATGATGATTTAGGGTCACAATTTTTGTGTTTAGATGGTGAGGATGTGCTTTGGAGTTACCGAAATGACTTAGCTTTTCTTGGCATGATGCATTTTCCTTTGGCCGATTTCAAAAGGGTTGAAGCTTGCAGATCCTTGCATTGCGGTTACTTGTGTTCATTGTTTGGCGGGATGCAATTATTCATGGCTGTTAACCCCTGTCCTCGGCACGTCATGGCTCCCCCTCTGGGTCATGTAGCGGATCAGAGGCAAGAAGATGCCCCTTCCTAGCCAGCTTCAAGATCGATTGTGGGCACTGTTCGGAAAGGTAAGCATCTTGCTATTGAGGAGGGTCAGGGCAATTGACTTCCTATGCCTAAAAGGTCAATAACAGCATGGGTGCCATGCTCTGTGTGGCCATTGGTACCAGGGGAGGTTCGTCAAGCCAAGTCTGACGTTGTGTCATCTCGGGCTAAAGAGGGCCCAGGTAGGAGTTCGCCATGGGCGTGTCCTGAGGAGTTCATACAGGATCCTCTAGCCTCAACCCCTGAGATAAGGGAGGTTTTTGATATAGAGTCACTACAGTTTGCAGTGCCGGTTCCTTCTTCCAAGGTTGTCTTTGTTCCAGTCATCGGTGGGCGAGTGAAGAAGATGGCTCCCCGTCAACGTAGGAGGGAGCCTGGGGATGTTGATTTGGTAAGATTCTACAACCTTGTAATGTGTTTGGATTATTGTATTTGTTGCTATTCTGTTATTGACTTGTGTTGAATTTACAACATTTTGTATTGAAGCAAGTAGAGGCTGATGATGCTCAACCCAGAGTTGAAACTCCACTAGTCCCATATAAGGAACTTGTGGGTGAAAAGGTATGTATGTTATGGGTACTTATTAGATTCTTTAATGTGTGTTTTATTCCGTGATAATGTCATTTTCCTCATTGCAGGGAGTTTGCAATTTCAACCTCTTTGGCGTTCCAGTTTTCCCTATTATTAGACGATTAGTTAAAGATTTGCAATCGTTGCAGCCCCCTATCGAGGGGCAGGGAGCCCATGGGTAGTGTTCCAGTGACTTGGGGTACGTGAGGCTTGATGGAAAGGAGAATATTGGTGACTTTGCTCATGTCCGTTATATGCAAGAAGAGAAAGAAACTCTTGTGCGTCTGTAGGAGCAGCCCCCCAATAATCCGATGGGTCAAACCGGAGTTGGTCAAGAAGATCAGCTGGCGGTTAAGATGCCAAAGCATCCCCCTAGAGTTTGGAGAGCATTACTTTTAGTGCCGAGGAGCCGGTCCCTGTATTAGGGCAGTCCGTTAAGGAAGAGCTGCTACAGAGATCAACTATCATGTCGCCTGAGCAAGTGCACGAGGCTACAACAACAGACTTTCTTCATGAAGAGAATCACCTACTGGCAATGTGGAGTTTGAAGTTTGCGGAGACGTAGTGGCCGTGGACTTGGGGACTCAGCCTAAAAGCAATCCTATGGGTTTTGAAGCATCATCACTGCTTGTGGCTCTGTCACCTAACGAGGAGCTTGCATTGGTACGACGAGAACTCAAAGAGTACTGTGAAAAGCATGAGGTCGTGCCTCTCAGCTATGCTGTCGTAGATCCAATCACTATTTAGGGTCTTTGCAGACACGAGAAATATTTTGTATCAAGTTCTGTGTTGAAGACCGTGGCTTAGATCACACAAAAAGGCTAGTTGCCACCTGGTGACATCCCTCCGGTAGTTATAAGGACATCATTGAACACAATAGCAGCGGTGATGAATTGCATTATGGACCAATCCATATATGAGCTTTCATGGTCTGAGTTTGCCTGTTGGTTGAGGACTTGTGAGTCATTTTCCACTCTGGGTTTCAAGATGGATCATATCAAGGAGCGGGTTGTTCTTCTTGCCAATGTGTTTTGGAAGGCTGGTTACAAAGAGCCTCAACCCTCAAACACTCAATCTTTAAAAGAGGTTCGCTAGTGCCTCAAGGTAGTTGAATCGAATCTTTTGAATGCCACAGAAAAGTTAGTCTCCCTCCTCGATGAGTGCGCTCGCCAACGTAAGATAGTGTCGCAATATGAGGCAGAGTAGAAGGAATTGTTAGAGGTTGAAACACAATGGCAGGGTTTGGCAAAGATCGCTCGTATGAGGAGTGAATGCTATGCAGCCTGAGATGTATATGAACTTTATGTCATGTAAAATACTCAGATATTGTAATGAAAGACTATTTGGCTTTTACTTTGGTGTTGTGCATTTTAAATTTCTATTGATTAATAGCCCTGTGTAGTTTTTGCAACGCATAAATCAAAAGTAGGAGTGTTGATGGGTAGGTCTGACTGAATGTAACGCTAGTAGGCTCTATGTGGGTTGAGTGCGGTGCCTATAAACTATTTAGGCCCTTTGTGCATTTAGCAGTTTTTGGCCTCCCATTTTATGGTGGTGAATCCTATTGGTTCACTTCCTGTGTATAGTTTTTGGCCTCCCATTTTGTAGTATGTTACCACCCTTGGGTTTGTTGAGGGTTTTTGTTAATGCATTTGAGATTGTCGAAGCCTTATTGGTTAGGTCAGGATATGTCATCGCACTTCATTATGTTAAGAAGGACAACCTAGTAGCAATGCTTGTTGAAGGTGAAAAATCTAGCAAGAAGAAAAGGAAGGGTAAGAAGAGGCCTCAGAAAAAGGAAGGCAAAGCAAAAAAGCAGAAGAGAGACAAGTCATCTAATGAATGTCACTTCTACAAACAACCTGGGTACCGGAAGAGGAATTATCCTCAGTATCTAGAATCCCACAAGAACAAAGAATGTAATTTCAAATCTCTTGTCATAGAGATCAATATATTGGTCACTTTTGCATCCTGGTGTATTGACTCTAGGGCTTTCATTCATGCATATAATACATTGCAGGGGTTCAAGGAAAGTAGAAGGCTAAATGATGATGAAGTTGTGCCTTATTTGGAGATGACTGCAATTGTTGTAGCTACTACTATATGGTCAATAGATTTAATTTTTAGAGAAGGAATTGTTACATTAAAAGATTGTCTTTATGTACGTTAGAAGAAATCTGATTTCAGTTTCTAAGTTGTGTAAGGATAGTTATTCAATTTTGTTTAGTAATAAGATTACAATTAAATTGAATAACAAATTCCTTACTCATGGAGAATTTAAGAATGGTTTTTATGTTCTCCATCATTTTCTAGAAACAAATGTGATCGGAACCATATTGAAACACATCCCAAAGAAAGAACACATGATACAGATAATGCCACGTGCTTGTGGCATGCATCACAAAATTGGTGAATGATAATCCTCTAGATTTTCTCACTGTCGAAGATATACCAACTTGTGAGCCTTACCTCCATGGAAAGATGGCAAAATGGCCATTTACGGGTAAGACTGAAAGAACTACAGACACACTTGACCTTATACATACTGATGTATGTGGTCCAATGAGTGTTAGGACATGGAACCAACACTGTTATTTCATAACTTTCACTGATGATTATTCTTAGTATGGTTACGTGTACCTAATGAGACATAAGTTTGAATCTTTTGAAAAGTTCAAGGAGTTTAGACAAGAAATCAAGAAATAGTTGGGGAGATAGATCAAAACCCTTCGATCAGATCCAGAAACTGAGTATCTCTCTGATGAATTCAGGGACTACTTTATGGGGTGAAAGCAATCGTTTGTAAGTGCATCTACAAGTGGAAGAAGGACCATGATGGAAAGGTTGAGACCTATAAAGCTCGGCTTGTAGCAAAAGGGCACACTAAAAAAGGAGTCAATTATGAGAATACCTTCTTGCTTATGGCCATGCTTCCAGAAGCTGAATCATCCAACTTGACTCAAAAGTCAAACAATTTGATTTTAAGTAGAATTTAGATGAGCCATATGTTTACAAAATGAAAGTAGGAGATAAGGTTACATCTATGATTCTATATATAGACAGTATTCTACTCATTGGGAATGATGTAGGAATGCTAACTACAGTGAAGGTATGGCTTTCATAGCAATTCTCAATGAAAGATATTGGAGAAGCCTCTTATATCTTGGGACTTCGACTCTATAGAGATAGAACGAAGAGGATAATTGGATTATCTTAATCTATTTATGTTAAGGTTTCCTATGCCTGAAACCCCTGAGTAAATAGAGGAAATGAGAGAGGTTCCCTATGCCTCAGTCGTAGGAAGCATCATGTATGCTATGTTGTATACTCGGCCAGGCATTGCCCAAGATGTTAGTGTTGTAAGTGGATACCAATTTTACCCAGGACAATAGCATTGGACTACAGTGAAAAAACATACTAAAGTGCCAATGGAGGACTAAAGACTATTGTCTTGTCTTCGACGGTGGTTCACTACAGATGGTTGGCTACACTGATGTCGACTTCCAGCCTAGCACAAATGATAGAAAGTCTATATCTAGATACTTTGGGACCCTATATAGTACGAAAAATAGTCCACGACCGAGAGTATGAACATTTCCGTAAGTGAGGCAGCCTAATAAGTAGTATGGATAAAGAAATTCAGAGGGTCCTAGAGAGAAAGTGAGAGAGAAGAAAGCTTTCTTCTAGATCATATGTGCCTCTTGTTCACACAAAATCCAGAGGTGCTCTAAACATTAGATTCTAAACTCGTCTCCACCTTTAAGTGAAGGTTGCTGCAACCAGAAACACTCCCTAGCTCAAGAACCCATCTAAACTTTGTTCTGTCGCATCCCTAACTGCTGGAAAACTCCCATTAAGAGACAGAGAGGCGAGGGTCTTGGAGAGAAGGGTGTCTAATACCTTCCCTCTCCCAATCCTTGGGACCTAAAATCTGTTGGTTGTGTGCCTTTCCCATGGAAAACGGAGTCATTATTGAAGACCCAAATCGAGTTTTTCTAATATGAAAATGAGGGCCCATTTCCTCTAAAAAATGGGTGGTGACTGCAACTCTTTTGAGTCGGCCATGAGCTTCCCAGAGCTCACAACTGGCGACTCTACTGAGGATATTTTTAAGGACTTAGTTTGGAGACGTTTTGGTTCAAGTTCGCGCTTAGTTGTTGTGCACTATAAAGCTTAGTTTGTTTTTTTGTTGGTTGGTGATTGAAAATCGCACATCAAGAAGGCTGGGCATGGTAGACCTTCCCAACGCAATTCAAAACCACATTTTGGCATTCTTTGGCACGGGTGACCTCCTCTTTGTACACCCAAAACCATCACTAGACAAAACCACACCTGAAACATTACCTAGAACTATACCTTTAGCCAAATCGCAACTAAAGTCTCAACCAAAATATTTCTTCTTCAAAATCATGCCTCATTTCATCTCTGTCATAGCCTTAAAGTCCAAAATCACACTTCCTTTCAATCAAATTGTAGCCTAAAAGTCCAAAATCGCACTTCCTTCCAATTTCATCGCAACCCAGAACCTCATCACAACCTAAAACTTGATCACAACCCATAACCTCATTGCAACCCAAAACATCATCGTAACCCAGAACTTCATCGCAACCCAACTTCATCACAACCCATAACCTCATTGCAACCCAGAACTTCATCGCAACCCAAAACGTCATCACAGCCTAGAACTTCATCGCAATCCAGAACCTCATCGTTACCCCGAACTTCATTGCAACCCAACTTCTTTGCAACCCATAACCTCGTTGCAACCCAGAACCTCATCGCAACCCAGAACTTCATCGCAACCCAGAACCTCACCGCAACCCAAAACTTCATCGTAACCCAGAACCTCATTGCAACCTAGAACTTCATTGCAATCCAACTTCATCAAAACCCAGAACCTCATCGCAACCTAGATCTTTATCATAACCCAGAACCTCATCACAACTAAGAACCTCATTGCAACATAGAACTTCATCGCAACCCCTATCATAGCGCACTGAATGTTTGTCGCGACTAGCCTTTAGTATAGTAGAAAAAAAAAATGTACAGTTTCCAGATGCCAGGCCTTTTTCTTTTTTTGTTGTTTCTTTTGGTTTTTTTTCCTTCCCCTTCTTTTCCTTTGACAATTTTTCAAAATTTGTAGTTTTTTTGCTTATGCTATAACTGAATATGATTAGCTTAGTTTTGGGTAGCAATAAATTGCATTTGTTCCTTGTTTCTTTCATTCTCTTTGTTTTAAAGCATTGAGCGAACCCAGCTTCTACTAGATCCCCAAATGTGGCCACTTGGAAACTTGTAGGATTGCTTGAAAACTTAAACATGTGGCTACATTTTCCCCTTGTTTTTTTATTTGGTTGCTTTCCTATTCAATTTTCTTGCATGCTTAAACACTCACAGTCATACACACATTCATGTAAATAAAATTAGAATCCCATTTCACCTGTTAGAGGAAGGGTAGTAGGTGTGTACCCCTGGATTTTGGTCCTTAAAGGCTCCACCAAAGCCTTCAAACTAGCCACCAACCAAAGAAGCTCATTTGTCTATGGGTGGAGATTTGAAGGCTAACAAACTTGTTGGGACCTTAGAGTTTAGAACTCCCCCAACAACTTCATGCATTGCACTTAGAGTACCCATACATACGAACCTTAGATGGAAATAGTACCCTTACATAGTACCCACCAACCATGCATTGCACTTATGCCCAAGATCAAAGTCTAAAAACTCCATCAAATCTGAAATCAAGATCAAAATCCATTAAGTTCTCCAAATCTAAAGTTCACATTTGAAATACTTAGAGAAGTCTATCTTGCCACTCAAGGCTGTTGTTCTCAAGGCTAAGTAGATGCATGAATCTATGATCTCAACTATTGGGAAGTAGCATCAAAAAGCCATTTTGACTTCTACTATTCATCCTATCTCCATCTCAAGGCTAAGTAGATGTATGACTCTATGAGCTCAGCTCTTGAGAAGTAGCACCAAAAGGCCATTTTTTACCCCTTTCATCATTTGTCCTGTGGTTAAGTGGATGCATGACTCTATGAGCCTAGCTCCTAAGAAGTAGCATCAAAAGGTCATTCTTTTTGGGGTCTCTTATATCTTGTGACCATCTCTTAGCTAAGTAGGTATCTAACTCTACCAAAACGCCACCTTGACCCATTCTAAGTATTCAAACTCCAGGAGGATCTAGTAGATATATATGGTAAAGGGTCTAACCCTCCCTTGACCAGTATAAAAGGATGCTCCATTCCCTCAACTGAACATTAGGCCAAGTAGATGTTTGGCCCTATGAGTAGCTCTTGAGAAATAACATCAAAAGG